ACAAAAAGTTTTCAATAATAACATTCATGCTCTATTTGGTGGCTTTTTATAAAAACTTAAGAATGCTATGTAGTTTTATTTGCCATTTCCGCTTGGTTTCTATGTTTAATGATTAATAGTTCTTTGATACTATTTTTACTCGTTTTCCGTTCACGAATCATAAAACAAATAAGCAATTAACAGCTATAAAAATTGTTTCATGAGTGATAAAATAAATACTGGTTTCTAAAAACATCGAAATTGTTAAGCTTATTCGATTTTAAACTGGATTTTCAAGAGTATTAAAATATTTATATCCACATTTGTATTTATTCGGCAGGCCTGTTAATCCCAAAATGGCATCTTCATTTCAGCTAATTTAATATTTATAAGCATTTATTTGGCATTTTCATTAAACATTTATGAATAACCCAGCTACGCAAACTGAAAAAATTGTTTATTAAAAAGGTAAACAAAAGTGGAAAGACCCTACTGAGAGAGCCAAGGGTCAAATGTTGCCGGCATTTTCTTTCTTTTTGCTGTATTTTTCGCCAAACTAGTTTACCTTTTTTGTGTGTATCTTGTTAAAGTTGCCGGCAAAATATTACATAATTTCCAAATAAAGCGAGTATTTAAAGGCTTTTAAAACCAAACTGGTTGAATTTTTAATTAAAAAACAGTGCGCTTTTATACATTTTTGTGGGCGTTCGGAGTGTTGACAGCCCCATGGCACTTGTCACAATATTTGCCACCAGGCTTAAGCCTCTGCCTTCGCTCTTTAGATGTCTTTCTGTCTGATTTTATGATGGCTTGGAGTTAAAGTTGAGGCAATGCCTGTTTGCCAGATGGAAACGACTTTATTAGCGCTTTCCACTGCCACTGACAATCAACAACGGCCAATTGAGTGTGATGGGCAACTTTTATTAATAACACCATGACATTTATGGCTTTTTTGTTTATCAGATACAGAGAGAGGGAGAAGTGAAGAGAGACAATCGTCGGCGTCATTAGAGTTAAACTACCATATCATTGCAAAAGGTCAAAGTCGTAAACACAATATAGACAGTTGTATCTGATGGATGTTAATGAATGCACGGTGAGAAATTGAATTGTATATATTTTTACGACACTTCGAAGCGAGACTTAATTTATGCAGTAACCCAATTTGGAAATTATTTTGATCAAAGATTGCTTAAACGATTTGATATCTTTATTATTCAGATAAATAAATATTTCTTTGGCTTTATAGGATCTTTAAATGGTATTTTGATCCAAGATTGGTTAAATGCTTTGCATATTATATTATTTATATAAATAAAGATTTCTTTGATTGTAAAATCAATTGATTGTCTTAGTAATCACCAAGTTTACTTATGTTTCTCTTTGTGTAATTTATTAATCTTTTGTATATTAAAGCCTCCAACATAAAAACTTCAACTGACAAGGCACCATAAGAAATTAGAAACTCAAAAGTTTCACATGCACGTGTTAATGAATCCGCTTACCAGGCAGAAATTGATTTTATGTCTGAGATTTTCCGCCCATTTTATACCCCTCCCAAATTGCCAACACTCCACAAGAGTCCGGAAAAACCGATCCACTCCAGAGGAAATGCTGCGTCTATTTCTAGATGTAAAACCAACATTTGCATTTCAAGTTTTCTTAGATCCAAGGCTGTAATTTTTTCGTGTGCTTCCCTTAATTGCTGGCATTTCTGTTGACCTTGTTGAAATTTATGATATTTTTTTTATTTGGGTTGACTTTTGGCTATTTGCTTTTGCTTTTGCTTGTTTATCTACAAGTTACACGTTGTTCTCCGTGGCTGATAACATGTGTTCACCAATGGACAGCCAAGACAGAGAGCTCTTAAAAATATGTCTTTGCTGTTCTTGAGTTATTTATTTCATTTTGTGTTTTTTCGACATTTTTAATCGAAAATGGATTGCAACTGAATTTGAGTGAATAAATGGTTTTCATTTTGATATCTTCAAGTTTCTTATGAGATTTTTGTCATAATGGTTTGTGGTGTTCCTCTTTAGATGATGAAATTTGTTTATGGCACGAACCTAAGGTTTATACTGATATAAGGTATATTATGAGAATGAAAGCTACAATATATTTTTTAAATATTTTAAAGAAACCTAGAGCAATCAGGAAATTAATAAATTGAAAGGTTTAAAAACCGAAACAGTTCTATTAAATATTGAAATCTTATCAAACTAATTAAATCTTAATTAAAGCTCTTGAAAATCAATATGCGCCGCAGACAATTATCTCATTTAGTAAAGAAACAAAATAACATTGTGACTAACACTTTCAAATATCAACTCACATTCAAACAAATTAAAGCTAAATACATTCGCTTTTCAAATCAACTCCATTAGTATTCTCAATATCACATAATTCTCTCATAATGCATAAACAATTCATGAATTTACGTAATTCCCAAAGCTATTTTTGCATGCTAACTGCAGCAATTTGAAACAAAACCAAAGATACTTCCACACCTCGATATACTGACACACAAATGTGTATATATACTCGATATATCTATACACATATATATATATATGTATATATTTATATTTGCATGCCAGTTGACTCAAATTAACTCGCTTTTGAGCTTGAGCTTGGGCGTTTTTCACACACTCACGCTCATCGGTATCGAGAGTTGAACAAAATACACACTTTAAGATACATTCACACTACTCAGCTCAGTTTGTTATTGCCGGCTCAGAAGATGGGAAATATATATACCTATAAATATATATATATATATTGTTATGAGTACTACAACAATCTGCCTTGCGGCTTTGGCTTGTTGAAATCATAGACATCATGAAACTTGGGATTGAAAACGAAGAAAACTCTTGGGTAGACACAAAAAGGTAACTAACAAATACAAGTAATTCCCCGAATCGTGTCCAAGTCGAGATGAAAATCTATCTTATCTAATGAATTTTTATGGGCTTTCGTCATGTAAATGAAAAATATACAGTGATAATTTTAGAGACAAGCTTTTTGGTTTGCCTTTGGTTTTGTTAATTTCTGACTGTCATTGTGTTGCGCTTTTTGTTTGTGATTTTTTCCCTCGCTATTTGGTTGCGGAAAATTTTGTAATTGCAAATGTTTTGCTTGTTAACTGAACTGCAAAAAAAAAATAATACAAATAACAATAGAGGGAACTGAGAAATAATATATATATTTAAATGAAAATTTGTTGTTCTGCCTTCCTGGAATTTTCCGCATTTGGTGGACATTTCTAACTCAATGGAAAAGTTAAAGTTCAGAGGTATTTGTTTGTGTGACTTTAGTACTTAATTTGTATAATGAATGTATGTGTCTACAGAAATTATTATTGAAATAACCGCAAGCGATGACAAAACTTCGCACAAATGCTGCGTAATTAGTATAAATATATATACATATAGTAATCTATATCATTGTGCATAGATTGTGGCAATAATTAAACTTGAAGTTAAAGCAAAGCACACGCAAACATTTTCCCGCATTCAACTTATTCATGGTTAAGTGATGTTTAATACACACGACACGAATCCAATAAATTAAGTAGTTAAACGACTTCTACCTTCCATCTCTATCCCATAAATTGCTTACTCTCAATTGCAATTAGTTAATGTTTATTAAGTATTCCCTCCCACGCATTAAGCATCTAATTAAGCTAATTCTGGGTTGGTCAATGTGCTACATTTGTTTACACACCAAAAAAACATGACGTCAAAGTTAGAGCAAATAAATTTGCACCTGTTTTGTTGAGAAAGTTCAAAGAAAAAATTACCTATAACTCACGCAGGCCTCATTTCTTTCATTTCCACAATTATTTATTTATTCCCCGCTCATTCTTCATTGATTTCAAATTAAATCGAAATGCTGATGAATTATTTAGTGACTTGGGTGCAACCGTGTTATCTACTCGGCTGCCCCTGAACTCATTAAAAGCCACCTAAGATTTCCACAAAGCAGGTGTGAGGTCTTGATGTCTGGAATGGTCACTAACAAACATTTGATTGCCCTATCGAAAAAGCGACCCAAATGTGGAACACAAAAACAAACGTCAGAAATCCATCAAAAAAACTGGTAATGATAAGGCGCTTGATAAGACAGGTATTCGAGCGATAAGAATGTGTGCAAAAGATATGCTGCTTAAAAGGAAAAAATAAAAACTTTCGGTTGTTGAAAGCTTGAGAATCCCTTCTATATAAATTCAGTATTTTAGGAGGCGAGAACCCTTAAATTTTAAGTCATATTACAAATATTCTAGGGACATTAAAACAAGCTGTCTTTAGCTTTTCATTTTGAAATAAATTAGAAGGCACAACGTCTCACAAACTTTAACTAAATCAACACAAAAATACAATCAAAATTTTCTCTGATTTTTGTATATTTTAATTTATATAAATTCAAATATTTCCCCTGATAAAGCTTCATTTTGTTTGTAAAACAATATTTTTCTCTCTACAAAACATATACCCCCAACGAGCAGCTCTTAATTGTTGTAAATTTTAGTTAATAGTTACACCTTGACCGCAATAATTTCTTGAAAACTGAGTTACTGAGTTCTGTAAGTCCGACAATTCATTATTGATTGTGTTTTTAAGTGCTGCAAGAACTGAAATTTTTAATCACAATACTTCTGTACATAGTTAATTTTTAAATTCTAATGAGAAACTCATAAAAAGCTATAATAAATATTTAACTTTCATAACTTTGTCCCACAAAGCAAGACTATAAATGTGCACAAAAATTTAATAGTGCACTTAAAACTACAGATATTGGTTGAAATAAATGGATTTTTTATGACTTTTTTTATGTACAGAAGCTCCCAGCTAAACTCATTATATTTTCACTGACAATTATAAGAGGTTCTTATCTCTAAATGTACTAAAAATCTCTTAACATTGCTTTGTTTTGAAACCAAAATGAATAATACAATGTAATAAATAAATACGCAGTAGATTATTAGAAGAAATTTGATAGCATTTGGATCATTGATCACTTACCGACTGGCGAGGGTCGACTGCAGTCTCTTGGCGGGCGGCGATGTGGTGGTTGAGGTGGGTGAGTTGGGCAACTTGCCGGCACGCGACCCACTGCCAACAGAGCCTTTATCCAGTGGCTGCCGCGTTGGCGGGGTCGAATGCGGCGTGCAACCTTGACGGATGAGGGGCTACTGCTGCTCGATCGTTTCACGAGGAGCACTTTGGTGGTACTTTGGGCGTGGCCGAAGGCGAACGCCTTGCACTGGCACTCACATTGCTAGGACTGGCGCGCGAACTCGTTACAGAAGCGGAAACGGAAACGGACACGGAACCCGAGCCCGAACCCGAAGCCGAAGCGGAAACCGAACTCGAACCTGGTGACATGACCCGAGTGCTAGACACCTTTGACTTCACATCGTTGTAGTTGGTCTTATCAGTGACTTGTTGCTGGCAATTTTATTCATCACGGCATCCCATTTGTTGGGCGTATGTTGTTTACGATTAACGGTGACTTTGGTGATTTCAAACCGCGCGATTTGCCAACACTTTTGCAGCCCGATTTGCTGGATTTCGGTGAGGCGATCGAAGAGTTTGAGGAAATCGAACCGCGGAAATTCTCCACCGTACAGAGCGATGACAGTGAAGCGTGTGGACGCGGCGAAGTTGAATTTTGAACTGAAACCGCTGCCGGAGATCGGTTGGCATTAGCCGTCGCAGCCGGCGTTGCTGCCACCGAGAAAGCTTCGTCGCAAAAGCTTCGAGCGCTGCCACCGTCAACGCTGCAGTAAGAGGTGCGATTGGAGAGCGTTGTGGCAGCCGATGAGGAAGAGAGACAGCTGCTCGGTGGACGCTGCTGCGGAGCCAGCTGATTCTGCTGCTGCTGCTGCTGGGTGGGAGCCATTGGGAGTGGGATGACCTTGACCTATGGGGGGAGTGGAGAAGAAACGGTTTTAATAGAGATCATTAATATAGGAGAATGTTAAAGTACTATTAAGAAAAGAAAAATATATGATCTTTCTGAAGCAATTCATTAACTGATGTTATGGAAACTTTAAAATGAATCCTAGTTCAAATATACTTCAATTACCCATTAAATATATTTATTAACTTTACCTTTTCGCATGGTCTGCGTGGAATCATCCGGTGACATGTCCACATCCACATCTACTTCCAGTTCCGGTTGGCGCATCTCCTCATCACAGCGATTTTCCACATCCGTGAATATGCCCGATGACTCCATGCATGAGTCCTCCATCTGGGGCACTGAGGCACTTGGTTGCATCATATCCGGTCCATAGAGCTGTCCATCTATAACCTGGGCACGACGATCGCCTCGATGGAGCACATCATCTGCATCGGATTCGGTAAAGAAATCCGAGTCAGTCATTGGATCCTGACGTCGCAAAGGCGCCGGATTCGGCGGTGGAAAGCTGGGCTGACGACTGACTCGTCCCAAGTGGGGTCCATTGCTCGGTGAGTGATCACAGGCTCCTCGGGAGGCTGGACGCGACATCTCGCCATCGCCCTGGTAGCCAGTATCCAAGCTGGTGACACTGGTCACGCTGGTAATGAAGCTATTGCTTAGCTTGGCCTGTTGCGAGGAAGCTGTCACCTGGTTCTGAGAGGCTTCCACCTGCTTGACAATCTCCGACTTGATCTCAATGGGATCCAAAGGAGCTCCTCGGGCGAAGGAGTCTGCTCCATACGCAGCTGCATGAGATTCGGATGATGCATCCTAATTAGTTCCAAATTATGCATAAGTTTTGTGAGGTGAGTCCAGGAAATCCTTCATCTGATCAGGCGTAAGAATGCCCAGGCTCTCATCCAGATCAAAGGAGCTCTGCTTCTTCAGGAGTTGCTGCTGCAATTGCTGCAATTGGGTGGAGGAGGAGAACGAGTTGTCCACCAATTCAATAGAGCAATCCAGCGTTGTATCCGGCAGATCCAAACCGAAACTATAGCGGGTTCTGCCACGACCCGAATGAGATACCAGGGTATTATCGAGGGCACCATGACCATCCATGGTTATATCTCCATCGGGAGTTCGAGTGGGCAAAACCAGAGCACTTTGTGCTTGTTTCAAGAGTGGTGAAAGTAGATGGACAGGCTGTGGAGTTACCTGTCCCATCATTCGCATTCCATGTGGTGTTGTTGTGGCAGATTGTGGGATAAACAGAGGAGCGGATGCTGCGGTATCGATCTACGTCCCGATGCAATGAGTTCTGTTTGGGGTTCCCCGCTCCAATTCCTGTGTTAAATTCAGTAGCTGTATATGTCTTGGGATTGTAATCCACTAATATCCAGCAATCTCTCCGTATTAGGGTGGAGTTCAATGGCAGCTTCATGTTGGCTTTATCGGGTGCCAACGAGGTCAACGTCACGTCCAGCGTGTCGTCCATTTCCTGGTGCATTGCCACCTCATCTGACAGGTGGCACCCTTGGAGCTCAAAGTGTCCAGGCCGGATGGCATGGATATGTGCTCTAGTAATGGCAACTGATCCATACTCTGGGTTAAATTAGCTCCATGATGGATTACCTTGGTATAGTCACCTGGTTCATTAACACTCTTGGTTAGATTACCACTACGGGCACTTGAAATTTTGGTTAATTAAGTCTACTTTCAATTGTTTGATTTCTATTCAATCCAGTTTCGATCGTTTGAGTGATATTTTGTCCAGCATTAATTATTTTGGTAAGATTGCCAGCTCTACCATCCATATTTTTAGTAAGATTTGCTCCACTTTCCAAGATTTTAGTAGAGTTTCCTGCTCTTTCGAAAGTTTTCGTTTGATTAAAGTCTCGATCCATGGATTTGGTGAGATTTCCAAATGATTTGGTGATGTTTCCAAGGCTCTCCAATGTCTTGGTAGTATTTCCAATACCTCCAAGGTCTTGGTAGTGTTTCCAATACCCTCCAAAGTCTTGGTTGTATTTCCAACTCTTTCAAATGTTTTGGTAGTATTTCCAATTCCCTCACCAACTTTGTTACATTTCCCATTGGCGAACTATTTCCCGCCATGGTTCTAGTAACATCCTTGGCCTGAATCCCTGGCATTGTTCTACCCATTATTCCCGATGAGTTTATGGTGTGTGTGGCATTATTTTGAGTTATCTCTAGACTGGTTCTTATCTCATGAGTAGTATCCATTGAGTTATTTTCCTCAAAGTTGACTTTGCCGTGTGATTTATACCACCAATTTGAGTTGGCTTTCGGATTTGAGTAATTTCCGCCAGGGGAGTGTTTTTAGTCCTGGGAGTACTCTCCATTATTCTCGTTCCATCTCTGACCAACACTTTGGTTTCATCCATATCCGGTGAATCCAATCCATGGTTCGTGCAAAAGTGTTTCCAATTTCTGTCGATTCGTCTGCTCTCATCCTCGCAGACAAAGGTATCGGATCTCAGGAGGGGCATAGGTGTACTACTGGTAAACTGATCACTTGTGAGCATTCCACGTTGCTTCCCCACCGGCAAAGGAGTCACTGGCAATGAGGTCGTCATCTCCGTGGGATTGGACATCATGCGAGCGCTTCGGACTAAATACTTCTTCAGGACGGTGGTGGTCTTTTGCTAAGCAAACTCACTGCATTATTTATTCTCTCCCCGCTGGCGCTCTTCTTCAAGCTGCTGCCCAAATCCCGCAGAGCAGCCGAAGATGGTGTATATGAGCTAGCAGGACGAGGCTTTGCAGGATCACTGGGAACCTGAAATATCTGTGTGGCCTTGGGCGCACTTATCGGTGGTCGGATGTGCTGGGTGGTTGTGATGGTGGTGTTTGTGGTGGTGCTTCCGCTGCTGCTATTGGTTGCTCTGTTGGCGGTGCTAAAGGCACTGCTGGGCAGGCCAAAGTTACTTGGCTTGGGAACCCGCGAGATGCCGTCCAAACGGGGAATGCGAGATGAGGTCGGATCCTGCAAGGACATGGAGAAAAAAAAGGAATTTAATGAAGTATTAAATCATTTTAATTAAAATTTCAATGTTACACCTTGGAAAAAGGTACTTACATCGTATATGAGCAATATAATCTATAGACTTTTCTTTTTCAGATTATATTTGTTTTTGAAATTGGTTTTTATATTTTTAAAATGTATAAAACCCTTGGGATTCCCTGAGATATTATACCTTATATATAAGGACATTTTGTTACACCTTGAAAAAAAGGAATTTACATGGTATATGACCAATATTATCCATAATTATTCATTTCTCAGATTATATTTGTTTTTGAAATGCTATTATATATTTTTAAAATGTATAAAACCTTTGGGATCCTCTCAGATATAATAACTTATCAATAAGGACATTTTTTTCGGGTGTAAATTCCCATTTTCTGTGGCGCCACTCAGCTCCATCCTGCTATCCGCATCCTGCACGTGCTCAGACTTTTTGGCAGCTTTGGCCAGCATGGTGCAAAGTAGTTCAGTGGGGCGTTTCCACTTGGCACCAGTTCAACGCACTTTTGCAGCAATATCATCCCTTCCCTTGGCTGATGTCATCGAAGCTTCTGCGACTCCCTTTCCAACCCCCTCCCTCATAGAGCTAATTGCAGTTTAATCAAATCCCGAAAAAAAAAACAGAAAAAGGAGTAACGACTTTATGGCACCGCTGTAGGAGTGAAGGAGGCGTGTCGCTGCCATAATGAATTTATAGCAGAATGGGAGACATTATCGCACAGCCAGCTAATTATGCACGTACACGTACACACAAGATGTCAGAGGAGGGGAATTACGACAACGGGGGTGGAACATTGTGCGGTGCGTAATAGAAAAATAATGCCACGAGAATGGAACGGGAAAGCTATAGAAGGGCTCCAAATTTTCATTATGGGATTAACGCGAAAAGTCCTGAATGTTGTGTAAAGTAGTTAAGGGAAATGCTAATTTTATTGCAATTCAAATGCAGGGATACAGGCAAATCTGGCAAATCTGGATTAAAATAATTTAAGGATTGAATTTAATTTAATACATGTTTATTTTTTATTTAGGGTTTCAGAAAAGTTGTGCTAAAGATCGCAGGAATAAACTTATATATACATGTCCTGAGGATCGAATTAGAACTCTGTTTATTTCAAATAATTGCAAGTTTTTTACCAATTAAGCAAGTAAAGAACTTATAAAAATTATATAAATAATCACAAATCAACAGCTCTCGCTTCTCTTTCTCAAATCAAGTCTAAAATCATTTTTTTGCATGTCAAAATCTTATTTGCCGAGTGGTAAAACTTTTCCAAAAAGCAATTTAAATCTGCTCCATATCATTGGCACCATCAGCAAAGCATCAGCTTGAAAAGTTGGTTTAATGTGCTAAATGCTTGCCAAACAAGGCCCAAACCACAACCAACTTTGGCCAACGTTTAGACTGACAAGCCAAAAGTTTCCTCATCTTCTACGCGTGGGGATCCTTATTTTTCGGGAACTTCCGGGGACTTTAACACATCCTAAATTCGCTACATGCCACAATATGAAATGCACTCGATGGCAGTTTACACAGGCGGACTTAATCGAAAATGCAATTTCAACAGACAAGTTAAACAAGCGCCGAAAACTGCCTCCTGTGTCCCGAACTTTTCCGATTCCATAGATGGGGAGAGGCTTGAGATGAGAGATTGTGGTGGAGGCCACACCCTGCTCCATTCAATGTCCTTGAACTTTTTCGCGTGAAAGTTTTCGCCATGCCACACCAAACCAATGTGGAAATAAAAACCCCCCGCGATTGTTATCAAGTGCAAAATGCACAAAAGTTTACGCCAAAAAGGGGCAGCAGCAGCAGCAGCACAGAAACTACTCGTTTCTCAGCCAGAACACCGCCATATGTGGCCATAATTATTCGAATATGGCACACGATAACTGTGTGGAGCTGGAGCAGCTGCTCCTTCTGGGAAATTAAATGTTATCGATAGCCCGCCCCGAGGGAATTTACATAATAGCCTTTTGCCAGTGCAATATGAGCGGTGTCCTTGGGGCATGCGTGTGTGCAGGATAATGAAGCAAACAGTTGTGATTCAGCGGTAAATTATGGTGCTTTACCTGCACAAGCGATTCAAGCGAAGTCGTCATGAAATAATCCTGCAGGATTCTCGGGAAATTTCCAACCAACTGATTGTGGTATTAAGGGATTTTAAAACTGTTTTTGATTTCCAAGGAAAACTTAATTATTATGGTTTTTTTGAAGGGTTTTATTTCTTTAACTAAAAGGATATGTGTTTTCTGTTCTATTTTATAAGTATAGTATATACTTTCCAAAGAATGAAGTTCACTTTCTTTAAAATGTATGACACAACTTTCTTTTGAACTTTAATTTAAAGTTCTATTACATATTAAAGTTACCTTTAAATGTCTAAAGAATGTATCCCCACTAGCAGTTTTCAAAAAGTAGTTACTTTTTATTGTAAAAGTCGTTTAAAATGGCTGCAAGTCAACAAATATTTGTCACAATATATGTACTTGCTGTATTTACTGCCGGCAATCGCAAGGATAAAAGGACACCACAGTAAAAAGGCGACACGCACCGCTTGAAATACAAATAAATACTGTCACAAACAAAGTGACGGAAGGCGACTCCAATGAATTCCCCGCACAGCTGACTGCGGAAGCCGGCACAGGGTATCGAAGGACTCGAGTAATAAGGGGGTGGATTCAGGATCAGGACTTCACAATGTGGAGTGGACCTGCCACCACCAAAACCACTTGGCAGTGGCAGTCACGACACCACCAGCTGCATGTGGGTTAAGCGCAAACGCATGTCCTGCCAGCCAGGACAAGTCAACGGAAGTGCGGGGCGGAACTAAATAAAAATTTATCGATTTCCATGGGAGACATATAATATATAGCCATCCTTCCCCCCTGTCGACCATAAAAACTTGCTTTTTTTATCGATATTAATAGCGACTAACGTGGGGCAGATTGGCTTCGAACAGTGCATAAAATGCCAAGAATTGTGGGTGTACGGTGTGTGTGTGTATAGCTAATGCATGAATAATTTGCATTCCAACTTGGGCACTCTTCCTTTAGCTGAAACCCAAAGCCCTTTCTCGAATCAATAGTGATTCGCCGAGGTTATGAAAAGCCATAAAGAGTGGAAAAAGAAATACGGAAAATAAGGAAAATAATGTTGAAATGGTTTAACATTGATTGAATGATTCGTTGTTCTTCAATCGCTTGGAAGGAAAGTGGCTTGAATTGCCTTGTCGCTTTTCCATTTAATATGCAAATTACAAAACAAAGATGACCCAGTAAAATGGGGGGAAATAATGGAGAAAATTCTGGGAAATGCATTTATTTTATGGTATAGTGAGCAGGCAACTTATACTTTAATAATCAAAGTAAAAGAACTATGAGAATTTACAGAAATTTAATTTTACAAGAGAGGAAGGTAACTTCGAGAAGCGAAAGTCTGTGTACTCTTGTATCTACCTATAGGATCATGGTTTAGAATGTGAAATCGATTATAACTAAGCAAACACAAATTAATTTCAATTTGGAAAGCATTTCTTTGTTTAATTTAATAAGGATACTAGCATTTAAGGTTTCAATATTTAACAAATTAACAAATTTGTATAGATTTTTGACAATTGTAATGGTTTCTTTTGAAACTATCGTAAGATACTTAAGACTTACCATGACATGATCTAATTCAGCTTCTTCCTGTTTATCCAATTGCATTGCATTGGTCAGATAATATAGTTGGGGTCGAAAGGTAATCACTATCACTATAGATGTAAACACTGGGGCGGCCATGGACAGAATGAGGCGAGCGCGAAGGCAGTGCCTGTATTTATAGTCGCCGAGTAAAGAGAGCAGAGAAAGTGAGAGCTCGGAGAAAGGGATACCTCCACAGGCAGGCAATGAGAGAGAGAGAGAGTAAGGTTCTCTAAAACTCCCGCTCCTTAACTCCTGTATTTTTAGAGATAGCTCTTTTCTCTCAATCTCTCTCTCTCTCTGTTACTTTCTCCGATATTCTCTTCACTTGGAGAGTATAAATACAGGCACTGCTTTCGCGCTCGCCTCATTCTGTCCGTGGCCGCCCCAGTGTTTACATCTATAGTGATAGTGATTTCCTTCGACCTCATACCTATCACCTGACCAGTTCATTACATTTGGAGGATAATCAGGAAGAAGCAGACTAATTTAATATCACCAAGAAGGAATTAAGCAATGACAACAAATAATAACCGTATGGTAAGTCTTAACTATTTTACGATAGTTTCAAAATTCACTTTGGCTCCAACTTTTGCTACCTTTTTAGGGTATTATAATTGTAGTCAGATGCTTAAAACTCATTGAAGGAGTCGTTTCCGACCCTATAAATCATATATATTCTTGATCAGTAGGAACAGCCGCATCTTTCTAGCTAACTCTGGCAAATATTATTTTTTTTTCAAAATTTTTTTAAAATTTTATAAGGAAATTTATCATTAAAAATAAAAAAATTTGGCAAAAAATTTATTTTCTTAATATTTTAATCCCAGTATGTAGTTTTGTTAGCCATTTAAAAACTAGAACAGAACAGCTTTCGGAATTGAAATTAATCCATTTTTGACTTAGTTATGACATTTGAAAAACTTAGATTTGGCCCAAAAATGTGCACATAAAAATATGTATTTAATATACCTAGAATACACACATTTTAGATTTACTTGTAGGTATACAAAGCCCAAGAAGCCAATGATTGCCAAACGTCATATATATTATATTATTTATTTGCAATCAAAATCATTAATCAATAAGGAATAAATCATTTGAAAATCTAATTCGACAAAATATTTAACCGAATTTTTCATTAAAATAGTCAAAAATTCATAAAATCTGCTACCATATTTCCCCCCAAACCTTTTCTTATGCCATTTCTAATAAATAACTTTAAATAAACATTTAAAAAGTTATGCATTCCAATAACAAAGTGCCTTGCCATA